TTCCAGAATTTAATTGCCCATAATTAAGGGTGCATATTACACACAAGTGCATATTATACACGAATAAATAAGTCTTGTGTACATTGATCAATCGAAAGGGGTGCTAATTGGGATTGTTCACTTGCCAATTTATTAGCAAATATCGCCGTGGGAGCTTATTAGAGTGGGGCGCTTATTACGTCGAATACGGTAGTTAAAACACAACTCCAAGGTTTGGGTTGAAAATGTAAAACATTGAGCTTGGGAAAAGCCAAACACCAAAACCGCGGAATGGTGTTTTAGCTACAGTAGAACACGGATATAACGAACAACAAGGGACCAGAGAAATCAGTTCGTTATATCCGTTGTTCGTTATACACGTTTTCGCTCGGAAACGTCCGCCATCTTGGATAAGACAAAACACAATACACACATAACTGCAACATTGATTTGTATTAGCTGATATCAATTTACAACATTCATTTAATAACATTAAATTCATAACATTTTCTGACGATTGTTATCAAATACATGTACAAAATTTAAACATATTTATCATTTTTCGATTTACATACGAAATGTGTAGTCTGTGATTTTACTTTGGCCTCGTTTCGCTGACTGCGTTCTTGAAACGGCATCGTTCAGACCCGCCAAACTGTCAAAAACTGTTTGTTTTACAGACAAGATTACATGTACAGGTAAGATTAACACAATGCAAATTTAACAAGGTTGATCCGTCACCACTGATTGTATTGATTCGCCGCCATTGTTTTGATTCGCCGCTGATTGCATACAGCCAATTGTCAGTGACACTTGACACTGAGTGAGATTTCTCAGTTCGCTATACACGTCGCTAATAAGTGATAAATGGGCTTGTCGGTGATCAGGTATCAGTTCGCTGTATCCGTTAGTTCGCTATAGAGAGTTCGTTATATACGTAAATTTTATATGATAGCATATAGGAGATAAATCGGGGATTTTTTAACAGTTCGTTGTATCCGTTTTTTCGCTATATCCGTGTTCGTTATATCCGTGTTCTACTGTATATCAATATTATCATAAGGCCTTAGCATGCTTAGTACCCTGGATTGATATAAAACGGAATATTTTTCCAAACTATCATGAACATTATAAAAATAATGAGAAATATAAGTACAAACAATGACTTCCATTATGTGTGTTTGGTAGGAAATCATATACACGAACTATTGTAACAGCTGCTCAGATGCTTCCAATGCCTGTAAATATGCAATATGTTTCCATGTGTACCTGTTGTGCAAATGGATATTGCTATTGATTCTTATCACTTTCCTTGTGCAAAAACAAACTGGAGCAGATGGCTGTGAGGACAGTGTGTTCCCTGAGGGAGGACTTCACTGGCATCGTCATGGTGTGGCTGACACTGTTAGCTACAGTATGCAGAATGCCAGATTCCTGGACCAAGTGGTTGCCAAGTGACATAATGGCACTGTTGGTACCTTACAGGAATGTTTGTTACCAAAACCATATTCTGTAAAGCTTAAAAGAATATTACCTTGAGATCAAACTTTTCTCTCGCATCAACAGACCACATTACACATTGAATTAGCAGTGTTACGAGGTAATTTCCTAGTTGAAATACAAACATTAACCCATAAATTGGTACGTTAGTTGTGAAATCCGTTTGTAAGTGATACCCAATTCATCCGGTGACATGCACAGGCCTCTGGTGACAAGTCCAATGCTTTGTTTGTTTGTTTGTTGTTTAATCATGTTAATGCCGCACTCAGCAATATTCCAGCTATATGATGGCAATCTGTAAATATTCGAATCTGGACCAGACAATCGAGTGATTGACATCATGAGCATCAATCTAGGCAATTGGAATATGATGACATGCATCAAGCAAGTCAGTGAGCCTGACCGCCCAATATCGTTAGTCGCCTGTTACAGTGAAATCAGTAAATGACCACACAAGATAGAAGAAAAATCAATAAATTATATTTAAACAGGCAGTTGTAGGTACACGGGCAATACCATGGGTATCAAAATAGCAGCAGTAATAAGCAACAGGCCCATTATTAATGACAATACACTCACAACTGTCCAACACTTCGTCACCATCGAAAGTTTTGAAACAGGACTGTCGCCGTTCTTGAATCCAGAATAGTGTTGGTTGGTTGGTTGTTTAAAGCCGCACTCAGCAATGTTCCAGCTATATGACGGCGGTCTGTAAATAATCGAGTCTGGACCAGACAATCCAGTGATTAATATCATGAGCATCGATCCACGCAATTGAGATCAATGACATGCATCAACCAAGTCAACCAGAACTGGGCTCCACCCATGTCAGGAATCGAACCAGCATCTTCGGCAAGACGAGCGAACGCTTTAACCACAAGGCTACCCGACCGCCCCTCTATGCAATTGGGATACGATGACATGTATCAACCAAGTCAGCGAGCCAGACCACCTGATCCCATTAGTCACCTTTTACAACAAGCATAGTCACCTTTTACAACAAGCATAGTCACCTTTTACGACAAGCATGGGTTGCTGAAGACCTATACTACCCGGAATCTTCACGGGTCAGAATAGGGTTGGAAGCAAGCAGGAATTCAATGTTCTCAAATAACAATACATAAAATGCAAGTCAGGTCGAAAAAAGGTCTGAAATCGCCCACTTGTCTCCCTTATACAGGTACAGCCAGCCTTGTAGAATCTGTCACATCCAGAAACTTCCTAACTATCATCAAGTACCTGTTTGCAGGGTTCCCTTGTAACATCAAGTACCTGTTTTCGAACAGGCATATTCAGTGTGGGCTATGTGAAGGCCAAAGGCACAGCAAAGGGATTATTAAGATGAGTAAATGTATGTAAACTCATTATACCATAAGGTTTATGTGTTGTGGAAAGAATGACGATGAGCGGGCCGACATGTGCCATCAATTCAACATCATACATTTTCAACAGATATGGTGTCACCCTGACATTGCAAATTCTTGGATGATGGCTTGTTTTCAAGATAAAGATGTCGTTTATAAGTGGGTGAGTGGCCTCCTAAAGTGATCTATGTCCAAGGGTGCCACTCCCTTCTTCTAAACCATCTTATACAGCAGTTATCTTGCCTAATATGGTTATTACTGTGTGTTAAATCCTTTGCATTGCCACTCAAGGTTTTTAATAGCATTTAGTGATCAGAACTAAATGCCTTTATGTCAGGCTTGGCACTGCTGCTATTATTATTACAGCTAAATACCTTCATTGTGTGCGCCTACGTGCTGGTTTGCATGGTGCCAATCTCATTAAAATCAGATCTTAGTTCTCGCTGCCGCTAAACAAAGATCTGAGGACATCCCATTACGGGTCACGTCAGACCGACCTTTCGCAAACTCTGACCGACCAATGGAATTACTGACAAGAAGTTGATATTAGCCAATCAGAAGGCAGCTTTCTCATGCTTTACGGCATTAATTTCAAATTGGCGACTACGCTTCAAAACATATTTTGACAAATTCTCGCTTAAAAATTGGAAACCTGAACAAATGAACATTATCGAATGGCTAATATATGGTCTAGATTGTATAGATTCAGTCGTTAAGCCCGTAGAAATCGTTCGGAATACCCCGTTTTAAAGTTTTCGAGGCTGCATGATTAGAAATCACAATCCGACTGTCACTTTCATGATCTGGTAAGCGACGCTCTGATTGGTTGGATGAAAGGTCGTTCTGACGTGAACCCTAATGGGATGTCCTCAGATCTTTGTTTAGCAGTAGCCAGAACTAAGATCTGATTTTAATGAGATTTGCATGGTGCCATAGTCTCTGGCTGCTTACCTAACCCTAACCTGAGTACCTAACCCTAATGATCGTAAAGCGTGTGATTGATCGTAAAGGGGATCCAAGGGCTAAGGATAGAGTTTGGGGTAGTCTAATAGCCACTGAACGGGAACCTAACCCTAATGATCATAAGGGGGTGATTGATCGAAAAAAGGGATCCAAGGGCTAAGGATAGAGTTCGGGTTAAACAGCCCTAACACTGGCGACATTTGGATGTGTTCAGCAATATCCCTAATAAACTGCATTCTAGTGCATAATTAATGAACTGGAAAAATAATATTATATAGATCTATATTAGTTCCCATTTATAACCATTTTAGCTACTTGAATTACGAGAAATACAAAATACGAAATAAAAAATATATATAAAATATACGTGCTTCCGTAAACTAGCGCTTGTTCTAAAATGTGCCGGTGCAGGCTATATTTAGTAAACAAATATTCACAACTCTCAACACCACTGGACATATTCAATGACATTGCGTGTAGAGATGATAGATCACTGGGAGGAGGAGCTTGATATCACAGGGCATTGTTTCGTGGGTGTGACTGGCAACAAAATACTACAAGTTACGTCATAGGGTATTGTCACTTTTTTTTAAAAGTTTGTGGTACTGTATTCTAAAGGTAGGCCAAATAGGTGAATGAGGAGTAAGCATATACTCCAAAACGTTGTGTTCCTCATAATAGAGAAGTTGACATACAAAATTTCTCCTTCTTATGTGTATCACTTCTAATTGCCATTCAAAGACTTATTAGATTTTGATTTATTTATAAATTTTGAAGGGAAGGCGGTAGGGGGGTGCGGGTGTATAAGTCTTACCGTTGATGCTTGGACAAATTGAAGACTTCAATGAAGTCCGTCATCATTTGTGATAAAGAACCATTTTATACTTACGTGAATTGAGGTTTGGATGTGCTTTCCGTCACCACTCATTGTTATTGTGTTCCTTCCTGTCTTATTGTTGACAGTTAGTTCTCTAGACTTGAAATTGGTGAAATTCCTTCCCGTGTAAATCGTGGTTGCCTAGATGCGTGAGGTTCCTTGAAATAATTATTTGACATGCATCTCAAAACGTTTTCCAAGAAAATCCCATAATTTTCTTATTCTTAAGAATAAATAAAATATATTCAATATACTTGCCCTATGCTTTACAAACAACAAATGTAATCTTATGTTTATTATTTTAGTGTGGAACATCACGTTGATAACATTTGCTGCGGAACTGACAAGATGTCAGCGGCCATGAAACTGTCAATTTCTCCAGGCCGTGTCAATTTTCTTGTCATTTCTCTTTTAGTAACCCTACATTTGTCGTTGACAACGGCATCTATCCAGAGATACTTCGGATCTAAAACAGCATACGAACTCATTCACCCGCCCCCCGAAATTGTTATCGAAGACGAGTTCAATTCCGTCCAAGTTGGGACGTTTTCATGCTTGGCTGCCCATTCAAGCGCTGTCATGCGACATGGTGCCAGGTACCCAGGCCTTGAGGATGTAGAAACCATATCGAAAATTCATAATGAAATTAAGGATAAATTAACTATTGACAAATTTCAAGAACTGAAAGAGTGGACGAATTCTTTTCCGCGTAATGATGACAAAATATTAATGGCTTTAGGGGAGGATGAACATATTCATTTAGGTCAAAGAACTGCTAGGCGGTTAAGATCATTATTTGTTGATGAAGATATGGAAAATTTTAGATTTCTAGTGTCAAGCAAACAGCGAACTCAGGAAAGTGGAAATGCTTACTATGAAGGATTTCTACAGGCTTTGGTGGGAGACACTGAGGAAGGAGATATGGATTCAGAATTAAGTGATGAAACTTTGAGGTTTCATGAAAGGTGTCAAAAGTACATTCGCACGGTAGACAAGAATAAAACTGCTATCAAGGAATTTTTTAAGTTTCGTTCAGGGAAAGAAATGACCAACATTTTGAAGAAAGTCAGCTCCAAATTGGGAATTCCAGAAAATCTCCTCAAAACAGGTATGGCTATATCTTCTAACACTACTAGTATTGTAAATCATATGTTATGTTATGGTCTCTTAAAATTAGTATTATGCCCAGAGCTAGATGACCAAACTTGTCAGATCCTCGGGTTAATGGATCTGAAAGTATTAGGGTTTCCCCAGCCAGGATTACTTTTAGAATTCAGCACCACAACATCTTGTGGGAACAATCTCTGATATGGGTCAGCGTAAATGAATTGATCTCTGAAACACAAACTGGCTTTTGCATGGCCAAACTATTCCACAATTGATAACATCCCTTCACTCTCTAATGTAAACCAAGAGGTGTTTTCTACGGCTCATTCACTGACTTTTAAAAAACCTTTGCTTATGTCATGTATGTTGTTTGGGTAAAATTACTGTTTCTTCTTTTTAGTAAGGGCTGTCATGGTAAATTGTACTCGGTGCTTAACCGTCATGGTGCCTGGACGTCAGTCAGCCTGCATACCGTTCAGTGCCGCACTGTGATGACGTCGCGGTTTCAAAAACACATATCAGATATATCAACATGATCAAAAGTGTTACAACCTTCTTATTTCTTCTCACAGTGTAACCAAATTGTATAACATGCAACTCGAGTTGATTTACTTTCCAACAGTATCTAAGTCACCAAATCCAAAAGATCTATGCACTGCCTAACCATCTATAAAAGTGCTGGTATTATAAGTTTCCTAATTTTATACATTAATCGTAATATGGAAGCACCTGAATATGGCAAGTAAAGTCAAGTGAGCGCTCTTGTTTGAAATCTAACTGTCTAATAATTCATATCATTGGCAAGTACATGTCCTAACAGTGATAGACATATGACATTTTTGTTGAAGTACACATTCAGTGAGGATTTTCCGTGAGTTATATTTACCCATAAAAAATCCTGATGAAATTGTCCATGTTTTTGATGTCAAAACAAAATTGGGGGAAGTGGTCGTGATTAGTTCATACACAGACTGTTTCAAAGATTATGTCACAATACAAATGACAGTTTTGAATGTATATCTTGAAGAAATCCTGGGTTACGTCCATGTATGTTTCAGTGATTGTGCTCTTTTGTTAGTGTTAAAAACAACTTCCGGGTAATCCTGGTAATTTACATCGGACATTTTTAAAGGACAAAATTTTGAAAGATCGCTAAACAGTTCTAACAATACTCACATTGACATCACTCAATGTCGGACATCATTATTAGTTCTTAATAATTAACAAGATTATACTGACATACTACCACCCAAGAGTAAGTACATGTAGATTCAATCCAAATCGTTGAAACGTTTTCATGGGCAGAAAATCTATTTAACAAACCTATCTTCGATCACTTGTAACTCGGGCGCCATATATAATTGCTTCATTGTGCAATCACACAGACTGCTTATTGATACTTCGGATGTCATGATGTGTTGTTAATGGTTTAAATCTAACATATATAAAGCTTGAAACGAGATGTAATTGGACAATTTTAATACATGAATTTGAAAGCTCAAGAAGAGTAGAGCAGGCTATATTTATTCAGAGACCATATAATAGATGGTTATTATCCCCCGCCACGAAGTGGAAGGGGGATATAGGAATGGGTGCCATCCGGCCGTCCTTCCGTCCGTCACATTTCGTTTCCGGAGCAGATCTTGAAAACCGTACCATTGTTCTTCACCAAACTTGGCACATAGATAGGTCTAGTGGTGAACTGGTGCCTTTTGATAGTTTGGGATTTTAAAAAAAGTTATTTTTCGAGTTTCCATGGCAACGACTTTGATTTAGACTGAAAATGGCGGTAGTCCTCGTTTCTGGAGCAGATCTTGAAAACCATACTATATTTCTTCATCAAACTTGGCACATTGATAGGTCTAGTTGTGAACTGGTGCCTTTTGATAGTATGGGATTTTTAAAAAAAGTTATTTTTTTAGTTTCCATGGCAACGACTTTGACTTAGACTGAAAATGGCGGTAGTCTTCGTTTCCGGAGCAGATCTTGAAAACCAAACTATATTTCTTCACCATACTTGGCACATAGATAGATCTAGTGGTGAACTGGTGCCTTTAGATAGTTTGGGATTTTTAAAAAAGTTATTTTTTTAGTTTCCATGGCAACGACTTTGACTTAGACTGAAAATGGCGGTAGTCCTCGTTCCGGAGCAGATCTTGAAAAACAAACTATATTTCTTTACCAAACTTGGCACATAATGTCATCTCACAGTATTGAATACATTTCCTTTCTTGTCGGTAAGTTCTGCATTGCTTGAGTGTATGTTCCTCAAAAAGTGTTATGGACACAGTTGTTGCATTCACTGACTAACTTCATACAGAAACACAACTCATTACAAATACAACAGTGTAACTGATCTTAAACCTACTCAACTGTATAAACAATATATATTCTTGTCAACCATACTCTGTACTTCACTTGCTTGATAATGATGTTAGAACCTACACCGAAACCATCGCTCCTAATTGTAATAAAGAAGTTGTTCGTCCATATGTCTAATCCTTACTCATTACAAATTCAGTTACATATTCTATCATAAAATGCAGATGGAAAAACAACACCAGTAATAACTTTTTTTTAGTGCTGCAATTACGCCATTTACAAAAAGGCCCAGTGAACATAGTTCACAGGAGCTCATGCATTGCACACACCCGACATGTCATATTGGCAGGGGATGTGAGTATTTCATGCTTGTTATTATTGATTTAATACAAGGAAACAATAACTTGCACAGTACACATGAAAGAAGGCAATATTTTGGTTTTACGGTACAATTATAAATACTATCTAGATTAAGTGAAAGAGAAAATTATGAAAATTAGAATTATTTCAATTAAAGTACATAGTTACCAATGTTTATACACATGTATACAGTTCATGTGCTCAAAACTCTAAAAAATACTTTTCACTATGACCACTAGCAAAAGTAGCTTTGCTCAAAATATACTTGTATGGCCCATGTCCATGAAATTACACATCAACATGTACATATACATATCTCCAGTACAGTTTCCCATTTCATCCCATTCTACTTATGGAAAAAAAATGAAACATATAATGATCGAAGGGCAATGTAAGTAATGGAATTATTTGTCATAAATGGAAAAATAAATTCTCAGTATTAAACTTCAAAAATATAACTAGCAAAATTTTTAATATAAATGGTTTTCAGTTATCATTTCCTTTTTTATCTTTTGTCCTAGCTAAACTACAGCTTGGAGGGAACAGATACAATATAAAATTGTGAAAAAGAACCGCAAGAATGTACTCATTTTGCTCTAAGACAAGATTTGTGTACAAATTCTATTTCTTAATAAGGATACAAAACAAAACAATTATTACTTAATATGTAAGCCATTGATCAAAGTATTTGATAATTTAGATAATGCACAGTGAATGTAACATAATCATGATAATGAAAGCTATTTAAAACATCAAGACGAAATAACATTAACACTGAAAACATTTTGTCATTCAGAAATCGATTATCTAAATATTGTGTGTACTGTATGTGTAGATCTGTACTTTTACTGTATATGTTATAAATTGAACCATGCGATATTCTAATATTAGAGGCTAAAATATTAAAAAGGTGGTTTTATATTGAATCCATTTTGACAGCCTTCTCACTGTAAAACATTTCATTACCTTACTCAACTATATGCACATTATTTTCTGGGAATAGCAAGCCTTCAAAAACAGATATGAAAAGCACATACCGTATTCGACGTAATAAGCGCCCCGCTCTAATAAGCGCCCACGGCGATATTTGCTAATATACTGACTAGTGAACAATCCTAATTGGCACCCCTTCCGATTGATCAATGTACACAAGACTTATTTATTCGTGCATAATACGTTTGTTATATGCACCCTTAATTATGGGCAATTAAATTCTGGAAAAATATATCTGTCGTATATAAACATTTCAGGCTGTCAGCATAAACCACGAAATTTACGATCTTTCAACTCTGTTGTTTTTCACCAAAATTATATTCTAATAAGAGCCCCCTCATTCTAATTTTGAGAGCGCCCTGGGCGCTTATTATGTCGAATACGGTATGTTAGCATACCAAAATTAAAAAACGGCGCCAGTGTCAGTTAGTCAAGTGATAAACGGTCTCATTCACTCGTTGGTCGACGTGGAAATCTTCCCATTCGTGATAGTCTATTTTCTAGTTCAGTCAAAGAGAACATTATTATTTGGAAACTGAAACCATGTGTATCATTTATATGCCCACAACATTAAATCAGCTGTTTGATGTGACGTCATCCACTTCGCAACACGCGAGGTCAAATCAGGCGCACCTGTCCAGAGGACAAATTCACAACGGCGGGAAGTCACCAGCCATCTATTTGTCTACACAAACAAAATTGAAGATTGTAACGTCCTTGAACGAAAAAAATAAAGTGTTTTCTCATTGCTGACTTTTCAGATAGCATATTAAATAAGTTTTGAAGACTTGCAATAGATTATCATACGTTAATCTAGAGTACAGTCTACATCAATAATTTGTCGGAGGAGATTTGTAATGTGTATTTGATGATATACATTTGTATATTGATTATCAATTATCTTGTACAATCACAACATGTACCATCTACATTAGACTCACGGAAAATACTATTTCAGCAAACCTACCATCGTGCCATATTATCACAGTTTCAAAGAAAGGAAAAACAAATAGAAATCAAACTTTACAGCACATCGTATCCATCATGTCCATAGGTGGTTAACCCAAATGCAAAAAGGTATTTCTGTCATCATTTTCGAAGTAATGTTGATGTTTTCAATAGTTGTATCGCATGTACCGTTGACAGAAACAGGGGCCGAGCTATCACGTGAAACCAACCTTGACATAATTTGTTTGCAATATGGCGTCGACTAACGTTAGATGTCCTTGTCACACTTAAAATCTTTTATTGCGACAAAATGTGAAACAGTGAACACTTCTCTCATATTTATAGTGAAGCTTTTCAATTCCAGTCAGGAAGAAGTTT